ATAAGATGAATTTTGTTGTTGATTCATAACATCAATATCAATCTCATTTGTTAAATCATCTTGAATATAAGATGAATTTTGTTGTTGATTCATAACATCAATATCAATCTCATTTGTTAAATCATCTTGAATATAAGATGAATTTTGTTGTTGATTCATAACATCAATATCAATCTCATTTGTTAAATCATCTTGAATATAAGATGAATTTTGTTGTTGATTCATAACATCAATATCAATCTCATTTGTTAAATCATCTTGAATATAAGATGAATTTTGTTGTTGATTCATAACATCAATATCAATCTCATTTGTTAAATCATCTTGAATATAAGATGAATTTTGTTGTTGATTCATAACATCAATATCAATCTCATTTGTTAAATCATCTTGAATATAAGATGAATTTTGTTGTTGATTCATAACATCAATATCAATCTCATTTGTTAAATCATCTTGAATATAAGATGAATTTTGTTGTTGATTCATAACATCAATATCAATCTCATTTGTTAAATCATCTTGAATATAAGATGAATTTTGTTGTTGATTCATAACATCAATATCAATCTCATTTGTTAAATCATCTTGAATATAAGATGAATTTTGTTGTTGATTCATAACATCAATATCAATCTCATTTGTTAAATCATCTTGAATATAAGATGAATTTTGTTGTTGATTCATAACATCAATATCAATCTCATTTGTTAAATCATCTTGAATATAAGATGAATTTTGTTGTTGATTCATAACATCAATATCAATCTCATTTGTTAAATCATCTTGAATATAAGATGAATTTTGTTGTTGATTCATAACATCAATATCAATCTCATTTGTTAAATCATCTTGAATATAAGATGAATTTTGTTGTTGATTCATAACATCAATATCAATCTCATTTGTTAAATCATCTTGAATATAAGATGAATTTTGTTGTTGATTCATAACATCAATATCAATCTCATTTGTTAAATCATCTTGAATATAAGATGAATTTTGTTGTTGATTCATAACATCAATATCAATCTCATTTGTTAAATCATCTTGAATATAAGATGAATTTTGTTGTTGATTCATAACATCAATATCAATCTCATTTGTTAAATCATCTTGAATATAAGATGAATTTTGTTGTTGATTCATAACATCAATATCAATCTCATTTGTTAAATCATCTTGAATATAAGATGAATTTTGTTGTTGATTGATAACATCAATATCAATCTCATTTGTTAAATCATCTTGAATATAAGATGAATTTTGTTGTTGATTCATAACATCAATATCAATCTCATTTGTTAAATCATCTTGAATATAAGATGAATTTTGTTGTTGATTCATAACATCAATATCAATCTCATTTGTTAAATCATCTTGAATATAAGATGAATTTTGTTGTTGATTCATAACATCAATATCAATCTCATTTGTTAAATCATCTTGAATATAAGATGAATTTTGTTGTTGATTCATAACATCAATATCAATCTCATTTGTTAAATCATCTTGAATATAAGATGAATTTTGTTGTTGATTCATAACATCAATATCAATCTCATTTGTTAAATCATCTTGAATATAAGATGAATTTTGTTGTTGATTCATAACATCAATATCAATCTCATTTGTTAAATCATCTTGAATATAAGATGAATTTTGTTGTTGATTCATAACATCAATATCAATCTCATTTGTTAAATCATCTTGAATATAAGATGAATTTTGTTGTTGATTCATAACATCAATATCAATCTCATTTGTTAAATCATCTTGAATATAAGATGAATTTTGTTGTTGATTCATAACATCAATATCAATCTCATTTGTTAAATCATCTTGAATATAAGATGAATTTTGTTGTTGATTCATAACATCAATATCAATCTCATTTGTTAAATCATCTTGAATATAAGATGAATTTTGTTGTTGATTCATAACATCAATATCAATCTCATTTGTTAAATCATCTTGAATATAAGATGAATTTTGTTGTTGATTCATAACATCAATATCAATCTCATTTGTTAAATCATCTTGAATATAAGATGAATTTTGTTGTTGATTCATAACATCAATATCAATCTCATTTGTTAAATCATCTTGAATATAAGATGAATTTTGTTGTTGATTCATAACATCAATATCAATCTCATTTGTTAAATCATCTTGAATATAAGATGAATTTTGTTGTTGATTCATAACATCAATATCAATCTCATTTGTTAAATCATCTTGAATATAAGATGAATTTTGTTGTTGATTCATAACATCAATATCAATCTCATTTGTTAAATCATCTTGAATATAAGATGAATTTTGTTGTTGATTCATAACATCAATATCAATCTCATTTGTTAAATCATCTTGAATATAAGATGAATTTTGTTGTTGATTCATAACATCAATATCAATCTCATTTGTTAAATCATCTTGAATATAAGATGAATTTTGTTGTTGATTCATAACATCAATATCAATCTCATTTGTTAAATCATCTTGAATATAAGATGAATTTTGTTGTTGATTCATAACATCAATATCAATCTCATTTGTTAAATCATCTTGAATATAAGATGAATTTTGTTGTTGATTCATAACATCAATATCAATCTCATTTGTTAAATCATCTTGAATATAAGATGAATTTTGTTGTTGATTCATAACATCAATATCAATCTCATTTGTTAAATCATCTTGAATATAAGATGAATTTTGTTGTTGATTCATAACATCAATATCAATCTCATTTGTTAAATCATCTTGAATATAAGATGAATTTTGTTGTTGATTCATAACATCAATATCAATCTCATTTGTTAAATCATCTTGAATATAAGATGAATTTTGTTGTTGATTCATAACATCAATATCAATCTCATTTGTTAAATCATCTTGAATATAAGATGAATTTTGTTGTTGATTCATAACATCAATATCAATCTCATTTGTTAAATCATCTTGAATATAAGATGAATTTTGTTGTTGATTCATAACATCAATATCAATCTCATTTGTTAAATCATCTTGAATATAAGATGAATTTTGTTGTTGATTCATAACATCAATATCAATCTCATTTGTTAAATCATCTTGAATATAAGATGAATTTTGTGTTGATTCATAACATCAATATCAATCTCATTTGTTAAATCATCTTGAATATAAGATGAATTTTGTTGTTGATTCATAACATCAATATCAATCTCATTTGTTAAATCATCTTGAATATAAGATGAATTTTGTTGTTGATTCATAACATCAATATCAATCTCATTTGTTAAATCATCTTGAATATAAGATGAATTTTGTTGTTGATTCATAACATCAATATCAATCTCATTTGTTAAATCATCTTGAATATAAGATGAATTTTGTTGTTGATTCATAACATCAATATCAATCTCATTTGTTAAATCATCTTGAATATAAGATGAATTTTGTTGTTGATTCATAACATCAATATCAATCTCATTTGTTAAATCATCTTGAATATAAGATGAATTTTGTTGTTGATTCATAACATCAATATCAATCTCATTTGTTAAATCATCTTGAATATAAGATGAATTTTGTTGTTGATTCATAACATCAATATCAATCTCATTTGTTAAATCATCTTGAATATAAGATGAATTTTGTTGTTGATTCATAACATCAATATCAATCTCATTTGTTAAATCATCTTGAATATAAGATGAATTTTGTTGTTGATTCATAACATCAATATCAATCTCATTTGTTAAATCATCTTGAATATAAGATGAATTTTGTTGTTGATTCATAACATCAATATCAATCTCATTTGTTAAATCATCTTGAATATAAGATGAATTTTGTTGTTGATTCATAACATCAATATCAATCTCATTTGTTAAATCATCTTGAATATAAGATGAATTTTGTTGTTGATTCATAACATCAATATCAATCTCATTTGTTAAATCATCTTGAATATAAGATGAATTTTGTTGTTGATTCATAACATCAATATCAATCTCATTTGTTAAATCATCTTGAATATAAGATGAATTTTGTTGTTGATTCATAACATCAATATCAATCTCATTTGTTAAATCATCTTGAATATAAGATGAATTTTGTTGTTGATTCATAACATCAATATCAATCTCATTTGTTAAATCATCTTGAATATAAGATGAATTTTGTTGTTGATTCATAACATCAATATCAATCTCATTTGTTAAATCATCTTGAATATAAGATGAATTTTGTTGTTGATTCATAACATCAATATCAATCTCATTTGTTAAATCATCTTGAATATAAGATGAATTTTGTTGTTGATTCATAACATCAATATCAATCTCATTTGTTAAATCATCTTGAATATAAGATGAATTTTGTTGTTGATTCATAACATCAATATCAATCTCATTTGTTAAATCATCTTGAATATAAGATGAATTTTGTTGTTGATTCATAACATCAATATCAATCTCATTTGTTAAATCATCTTGAATATAAGATGAATTTTGTTGTTGATTCATAACATCAATATCAATCTCATTTGTTAAATCATCTTGAATATAAGATGAATTTTGTTGTTGATTCATAACATCAATATCAATCTCATTTGTTAAATCATCTTGAATATAAGATGAATTTTGTTGTTGATTCATAACATCAATATCAATCTCATTTGTTAAATCATCTTGAATATAAGATGAATTTTGTTGTTGATTCATAACATCAATATCAATCTCATTTGTTAAATCATCTTGAATATAAGATGAATTTTGTTGTTGATTCATAACATCAATATCAATCTCATTTGTTAAATCATCTTGAATATAAGATGAATTTTGTTGTTGATTCATAACATCAATATCAATCTCATTTGTTAAATCATCTTGAATATAAGATGAATTTTGTTGTTGATTCATAACATCAATATCAATCTCATTTGTTAAATCATCTTGAATATAAGATGAATTTTGTTGTTGATTCATAACATCAATATCAATCTCATTTGTTAAATCATCTTGAATATAAGATGAATTTTGTTGTTGATTCATAACATCAATATCAATCTCATTTGTTAAATCATCTTGAATATAAGATGAATTTTGTTGTTGATTCATAACATCAATATCAATCTCATTTGTTAAATCATCTTGAATATAAGATGAATTTTGTTGTTGATTCATAACATCAATATCAATCTCATTTGTTAAATCATCTTGAATATAAGATGAATTTTGTTGTTGATTCATAACATCAATATCAATCTCATTTGTTAAATCATCTTGAATATAAGATGAATTTTGTTGTTGATTCATAACATCAATATCAATCTCATTTGTTAAATCATCTTGAATATAAGATGAATTTTGTTGTTGATTCATAACATCAATATCAATCTCATTTGTTAAATCATCTTGAATATAAGATGAATTTTGTTGTTGATTGATAACATCAATATCAATCTCATTTGTTAAATCATCTTGAATATAAGATGAATTTTGTTGTTGATTCATAACATCAATATCAATCTCATTTGTTAAATCATCTTGAATATAAGATGAATTTTGTTGTTGATTCATAACATCAATATCAATCTCATTTGTTAAATCATCTTGAATATAAGATGAATTTTGTTGTTGATTCATAACATCAATATCAATCTCATTTGTTAAATCATCTTGAATATAAGATGAATTTTGTTGTTGATTCATAACATCAATATCAATCTCATTTGTTAAATCATCTTGAATATAAGATGAATTTTGTTGTTGATTCATAACATCAATATCAATCTCATTTGTTAAATCATCTTGAATATAAGATGAATTTTGTTGTTGATTCATAACATCAATATCAATCTCATTTGTTAAATCATCTTGAATATAAGATGAATTTTGTTGTTGATTCATAACATCAATATCAATCTCATTTGTTAAATCATCTTGAATATAAGATGAATTTTGTTGTTGATTCATAACATCAATATCAATCTCATTTGTTAAATCATCTTGAATATAAGATGAATTTTGTTGTTGATTCATAACATCAATATCAATCTCATTTGTTAAATCATCTTGAATATAAGATGAATTTTGTTGTTGATTCATAACATCAATATCAATCTCATTTGTTAAATCATCTTGAATATAAGATGAATTTTGTTGTTGATTCATAACATCAATATCAATCTCATTTGTTAAATCATCTTGAATATAAGATGAATTTTGTTGTTGATTCATAACATCAATATCAATCTCATTTGTTAAATCATCTTGAATATAAGATGAATTTTGTTGTTGATTCATAACATCAATATCAATCTCATTTGTTAAATCATCTTGAATATAAGATGAATTTTGTTGTTGATTCATAACATCAATATCAATCTCATTTGTTAAATCATCTTGAATATAAGATGAATTTTGTTGTTGATTCATAACATCAATATCAATCTCATTTGTTAAATCATCTTGAATATAAGATGAATTTTGTTGTTGATTCATAACATCAATATCAATCTCATTTGTTAAATCATCTTGAATATAAGATGAATTTTGTTGTTGATTCATAACATCAATATCAATCTCATTTGTTAAATCATCTTGAATATAAGATGAATTTTGTTGTTGATTCATAACATCAATATCAATCTCATTTGTTAAATCATCTTGAATATAAGATGAATTTTTTGTTGATTGATAACATCAATATCAATCTCATTTGTTAAATCATCTTGAATATAAGATGAATTTTGTTGTTGATTCATAACATCAATATCAATCTCATTTGTTAAATCATCTTGAATATAAGATGAATTTTGTTGTTGATTCATAACATCAATATCAATCTCATTTGTTAAATCATCTTGAATATAAGATGAATTTTGTTGTTGATTCATAACATCAATATCAATCTCATTTGTTAAATCATCTTGAATATAAGATGAATTTTGTTGTTGATTGATAACATCAATATCAATCTCATTTGTTAAATCATCTTGAATATAAGATGAATTTGTTGTTGATTGATAACATCAATATCAATCTCATTTGTTAAATCATCTTGAATATAAGATGAATTTTGTTGTTGATTCATAACATCAATATCAATCTCATTTGTTAAATCATCTTGAATATAAGATGAATTTTGTTGTTGATTCATAACATCAATATCAATCTCATTTGTTAAATCATCTTGAATATAAGATGAATTTTGTTGTTGATTCATAACATCAATATCAATCTCATTTGTTAAATCATCTTGAATATAAGATGAATTTTGTTGTTGATTCATAACATCAATATCAATCTCATTTGTTAAATCATCTTGAATATAAGATGAATTTTGTTGTTGATTCATAACATCAATATCAATCTCATTTGTTAAATCATCTTGAATATAAGATGAATTTTGTTGTTGATTCATAACATCAATATCAATCTCATTTGTTAAATCATCTTGAATATAAGATGAATTTTGTTGTTGATTCATAACATCAATATCAATCTCATTTGTTAAATCATCTTGAATATAAGATGAATTTTGTTGTTGATTCATAACATCAATATCAATCTCATTTGTTAAATCATCTTGAATATAAGATGAATTTTGTTGTTGATTCATAACATCAATATCAATCTCATTTGTTAAATCATCTTGAATATAAGATGAATTTTGTTGTTGATTCATAACATCAATATCAATCTCATTTGTTAAATCATCTTCAATATTCACTATCAATCCATTTCCTGATTTACTATCTTTTTCTCTTGATTTCTTTTTCCTTTTTGTTTCCAAAATTTTCCTTATAATGAATGGACAAAATATGCAATCATTCTGATTATATTTCTCCTCAATAACCCTTTTAATTTCCTTTTCAATTCTTTCATTTTTACCGTTTTTTTCAAATATTAAATTCTCGTTTGCGTTATTCGAAATAGATTTATTGCAACTTGCCTCATCATTATCTGAGTCCATTTCTGATTTATCGCAATTCAATTTTTCATATGTAAGTAAATCATTTCTCACATAAAACAAATATGTTATTTGTGAAGATATATCTACAATCTCGGGATGGAATTTTCTTGGGAAAAATTTTGGTTTTCCATTGTAAATGATTTCTTCTATTTGATTATGTTCTAACATCTTTGTACATGAATCATTGCAATATAACCACTTTTTGAATGAAATTCTTATGAGCACAGTGAAATGTAGAGGAGGGTTTAGAATTATAGCGAAAAGATTATATGAAATATTGTCACGTATATGAATTTGTAAGGAAGATTTAAATTCTGGATACTTCTTTTGTACATTTAATATAATAACTGGTGATAACGTCTCTATTTTATAAAATTCTTTTTGAAACTGGACATCATATAACTTGTAAGAAATTGCACATAGAGGAGAAAAGTATTTCACTTTTAAGTCCTTGTAAACAATCGCATCAAATTGAATTAGAAAATCAATTCCATTTGAAAATTTTCCATTTTCATCACGAGATAAGCATATTTCCATAAGATGCGATATGTCATATATAGAATCCATTTTTCTATATAAAACAAATTCTAATTCTTTGAGAAGCTTAAAACCTCTGGTATTTTTTCGTGAATCATTGACAGCTTTAATAAGATTTAGTAAATAGGGACCTGCAAATGGTAATAATGTAAATATTTGTAAAATGGATATGGCATAACAATAGAAATTAGAATTGATAATGCCTAGCCAAATCGATGAATTTTTATAAATAATTTTTTCTTCACATTCTAGTTTCTTTTTTTGCTCTTTAATTTGATCATATGATGGATTATATTCAATAAATTTCAATTGAATAAACTGAGGATCGTTTAATTCATCATTTTCTGATATAAACCCTTTTAATATATTGCCAATGAATAATGATGCTGCCGGAGTTAAAGGTTCGGCATAATTCTGCAAAAATATATTTAAGAGTTTGCATTGTTCTTTAAAACTGAAAATTTTTGTAGCAATAATCATTTCTGATTCTGATAATTTGTTAAAGAACTCAATGAAGATTTTGCTAAACATACTAAAACATTCCATAAAAATTTCAAACAGATCAGAACATATCTGGACATTCATATTTCGGGATTGTGCGATAATGAAGAGTTTGAAGCATTCGCCTAAAAATTCTTTTAGGTTCTCATAATTTGGTTCTTCCAAAAGAAAATTTAAATGTTCTCTGATATATTGATGAAATTCTTCCTTTGTCTGAAATTCTTTATCGATGTCGATAGTATACAAAAATGCAAGTTGTTTTGAGTGCATAACTAAATTGTCAATAATTATTTCGTTATGAATTAACAGTGATGCTTTAACTGCCTCTAGTGAATCACAAATAATTGATTTAAATGGAAAGTCATAATCTTCATTTTTTATATTTTCTAACTTGTATTCAATTTTGTGCAAAAGCTGAATGATATGCAAATGCATATTTTGTGGAATCACTTGTGCATGATTATTATTGAGTTTGATGATAATGTGATTGATTTTTGAATCAATAGAGGATATAGTTGGTGGATAATTTGATGGATCATTTTTTGATGAACTAGATTGCAAATCAATTGATGCATCTTCTGCTGATGATTTCTTTCTTGATGAACTAGATTGCAAATCAATTGATGCATCTTCTGCTGATGATTTCTTTCTTGATGAACTAGATTGCAAATCAATTGATGCATCTTCTGCTGATGATTTCTTTCTTGATGAACTAGATTGCAAATCAATTGATGCATCTTCTGCTGATGATTTCTTTCTTGATGAACTAGATTGCAAATCAATTGATGCATCTGCTGCCGTTTTCTTATCTTTTTCATCAACTTTTGGAAGTTTTTCAAATAATCTACAATGCGACTTTGAAACTTTACTGGAGAGTCTATGACTATCCTCAATCGTTGCTGAAATTGAATTTAAGAAATCAATCAACTCTTCTAATTTTTTCATTCCAACGAGAACAATATCAGCTTTAAGTCCTTTTTTCCAACCTATCTTTTGCAGAAAACATTTTGCAATTAATGACGGTGCGATGTTCTCAAAGTTAAAAAAATTGTGTCATTTTTTCTTTAATTAATGGTGTGCCACCTGTTTGACATTTTACATTTTTCAAAATGGCTTTGTGAGTATCATTTTTACGATTTTTTTCAATCTTAAATAATGTTTGAGCGATTATTTTGGCAGTTGCCCGAATAGAATTTTTCATCGAATCATTCATGCGAGAAAATACTCTTATCAATGCATTCATATGTTCACACGTCATCGTTGTTAAGTGTTGTGAATTTGCAACGTTCAATTCAGAAAAGGCAAAATAAAATATCATTATATCCATTATTAATTTTTCTAAATGCTCTGGTAACGCAAAAAACACTGTATTTTTCGAATTTTTTGCATCATGATTTGCATTAAATTTTTTGAAATCAGAATAATGCTGATAAAAATGATAAATAATTTCAAAAGAAATTTCTAATAAATTTAATCTTGTTTCTATTGTTAAATATGCGTTTCTTAAACACTCATAAATAAATGCCTGAGGTAGTATCCAAAGTGCTTCATTGTAAAATTGTGTATTAAATAATGCATATAATGAATGAATTGAAAACAAAGATAGAGCATAAGAATCATTCATCTTTGTGTTGTCAGATTTGTCATTTAAACAATTCCCTAATTTTGTTGCTTCTTTGATTTTATCAAGGTTTATAATCTCATATTCGTCATTATCGAACCAAATTATAATAATATGATCATTTACAATTAAGATCGTCCTGATATTTTTTGTAATATGAACAAAATCCGGGCAGAGAATAAACCCACTCTGAAGCATCTTAATGATGTTTTTATTACACTCATCAATTGTAATTTCCGATCGCTTTGTTGATTCCGGTAATTCCTGTTTATTTAAGTTATTAAATTCTTTAAAGTTTCCATAAAACATTGCTTGTTTCATGGACTTAAACCATCCATTATATCCACGATCTCCATCAACTATAACAAAAGGCAATTTGATGATTTCGCGTAAAACAAATATAACTTCTTTGATTTCATCCAAAATTTTTTTGAGCAACCATTTGCATGCTCAATCAAATGTATAATAATATTTGGCCCATGGTAGTTTAGCGGCATGAGCACAAAAACAAACAGTCCGCTATCTGTTGAATCTGAATATTGTGTAGTTATTATAGCATTGATTCCAAGTGTATATATTGGAATAATTTCCTGTTCATTATCATTTTCATCCTTATAAATGAAATATTTGGTATTTTTAATTATGTTAAGCAGATCTTCGATCCCATCAGTATCTAACAGACAGACTTCAGCATAATCGATTAGGAATCCAAAGTGATTGTATAGTGTAGATTTTGCTGGGAAAGATAATTCCGTTCTCAGTGTTTTGTATGTTTTGGGAGATTGACAAAACAAATGAAATGCAAAATCCAGTGTTGGTGAATAAAATGAGTGGTGATTAGGAGAACCCTTCTTAGCATTGAAAATGAGATCAACAAGAATGGTGACAGTTTCATCGTTGAGCCAATCCGGGAATAGTTTCTTTAGTTCATCTTTTTCTTGTGAACTATTTAGTTTTGACTTCGTATCAGTTTGAGGTGTTTTTTGTGGGTTGTTTACGGTCCATTGGATAGATTTTGCTTGTGTTTGTTGTTTCTTTGATTTGCTTTTCATTTTATGCGCTGCAATTGCAGGAAAAGTTTGTATCGATTTAATTTTTGATGCGCTATTGTGAAATTCTTGAATTTTAGAAAAATTAAATTTAAAACTTGGATATTGAACAATAGAATTTTCATAAAACTGCTTTAAGCTGTCTTCATTAGACCCTTCAACAGAGAGAAAAAGACAAAAGTAGTGGGAGGGCGATTCCATTAAGAAAAAAAAAAGATGTAAATTGTAAACATTTGAAAAAAAAAATATTCATGAGTTGATAAATTATTTTATCGAGGTATATTGATATTGAGATGTATTAGTGAAGCGTTCCTGGAAAAAGAAAATAAAAAGAACAAGGAATAAAAAATTTTGTAAATCAAAATGAATTTGCGGAATATTATGCCATTCCGGGAGACATGCATTGGCAATGTCTCCCAGAATGGCACATTGCGACCGACAAGAGTGCATAACACACTCTTGTCGGTCAAAGTTTCCAATTATAATTCTATTATAACAAAAGTTTATAATTACCCGAAGACTCCATAATTAATTACTATATAAAATGACCAAAAATTTTATAAACTGTACCCAACATGCTTTAATAAACTTTTTTTTTCATTATATCTTTCTTTTATCATTCCTCTATCATCGTTACAGATCAATAAATAGCGCATCTTCATTCTTAAATACTATTATAATTCATATACATTTTTGTTATATTTTCTCTCATTTCATAGTTTATTTAATTCTTTCTCATATATAATCTTCAGATATATTGAGCCTCAACACTCATCCATTAAAACAATATATTTTCCTTTAATCTCATATTATTCATTAACAATCTTTCCTATTCTTATTTCTAGTTAATATTCCAATATATATATCAATAATTTATCCTCAACCACACATTCAAATACATTCAATTCAAGAAATTCATATTAATATTTTTTCCCTACTCATTATCATATAATATTTAGTCTCACATCGCCATTAAATCAGTTTTCTAATATCATGTCATATTGGTAACATCACATATATCTCTTAGAATATTACTTCAACAGTAGTATATATGGATGGGTTTAGTGACTTTTTTTGTTACATCTATATATAGACGATGCATTAAAATATATTTATTTATAAACACATTAATTTTTAACATTAATTTTAAAATAATTTATTTTTTTATTCTTACATAAATGACCCAACAAGTAAAACCAGATAAAGTGGATAATAGAATTTTAGAGGATGGTGTTCCTGTTTACATTCAAAGATTTAAAGGAAAACAATATTACAGAATGATAAATCCTGAATATGTGAAACATTTATTTAAAAAGGAAGATTGTGAATTATTAAACGTTAATGATTATGAAAATGCAAAATCAAAACTGAGATATAAATATATTGGAAGTGATGAAAGGTGTAAAGATAAAGATAAAGTTTATACAGTTTCATATAATGAATGGAAAACCGATAAGATTAGAAAACATTTAGGAGATTATGGGGAAAAATCTGAATTCTTTAAATCTAGTATATACGAGAGAGTAAAAGAAATTAGATATAATTATCATTCATGAATGAAAAATAAACTTCTTACGAAAAATTAAAACTTAGTTATGTTTATTATTTTATTTTTTTATTTTGTATGAAATGAGTGTCAAAACTAACAACGTTAAAAAATTAGGATTCACAAACGAGGAAATAAAGGATATATTAGAGGAGGCGGGTTATGAAGTTAATAAATATTATTTAAGAAATTGTCAAAAATTCGCAGAGTTTTTAAATGATTTAGATTATGATGGAAAAATGAATAAAGATGATGTTATAAATTTTTTATATCCCACATCTGAAGAAGAAAAACCTAAAGAACCTGATGTTTTCCCTGAATATTATGAAGAACGGATTAAAGATGATGAATATGATGAAATTGAAAGACTGGAAAAAATAAGAGATGAAATAGATGAAAAAATTAAGGAATTAAGAGAAGTTGAAAAATATAATGAAAATGAAGTAGAGGGTTTAATGAATATCCCAGCTTCAGAATCAGCAGTTCAAAAATCTCATGAAGAAAGATATAAAAATTATGTCTCAGAATCAACACAAAATTTATTAGATGGTGAAATAGACGAAACACTTTCAGAAGAAGGTACTAAATTTATTCATAAACATAAGTTACAATTTATTGACGATGGAGATTATCCATGTATATTACTTTCACCTCCTCTTGATTCTGAAAAATTCAAAAAAGCACTGAAAAATGTAACATATACAACAAATACGATTAAGAAAGAAGACCATGATATTTACACAAATTATTATTTAAATAAATGTACAGGTGTTGATAAAGTTTTTGATTTGTTAGATAAAATATCAAAAGAAACAATTGGTACATATAAAATTTTATGCGATTGTGGTTTCATTATTGAAGATACCAATAATGTTTCATATGAAAGAACAGCACCGAAGGAAGACGAAGTTGAAAAGTCTATACCATTCGTTATTAAGAACATAAAAGATATGAAAACTTATAAACATTATATTTATTCATTTATTTCAGAAAAAATGGAAGCAACCCATAAAACATCATCTCATCATTTTATAGCTATTCATACATTCCTTTTCAAAGTTGTGAAATTAAATAAGACAGGAATTAGATTTAATGTATCAGGGTACGCATTCTTGAGTAAATTAAAATGTATTCGTCACGTCGCAGATGATAAAAATTTATGTGTTCTTAATTCATTTTATGGACTTTAAAAAAATAAACTTTATTTTTATTTATTTTTTAATTTTTTATTCTTACATAAATGAACAAAAATGGAACAGCTAAAATGAATGATAATCAAATTAGAGCAGAAGGTAGAAGGTTATTTAAACGCTTCTATAACATTCCTGATGGTGTTAATCCTAAAACTCGTAGAAGTTATTTAAATGAAGCCATAGATGCATATGAAGGATTTGACATTTCATCAGAAAGTGAGAGGTTAGCAAGAATGTTAAACGTTAATATTGATTTTTATTATTGTGACCCTCAACCAGAAGACGTGGACATAAATAAGGTAGACTTTCCATTAGTGGATTCAATAATGATAGATCCAGAATTTGAAACAATAAATATTTTATTAACACAGAGTCCATGTGGAAAACTTCACGCTGACAGAATAACAGACGTTGAAGCACTCACAGGATATAAAGTTTGCCCCTTTTGTAAAGAAGAAGTTTATTCTATCCGCGATGATCCAGAAAGGAAAAACCGAAGAAGATTTTTAAAACATTGTGAGAAATGTAAAGAAAATAATGGAAGATTAATTCAAGACGTTCAATTGCAAAACACACAACAACCATATGCACCACATATCACGAAACAGAAGATATATCAATGGCTATTAGCTCACAATTTGCAGGAATATTATAAACCAACAAGATATTATATTACTTTTGACTTCGAAACATTAGAGACTAAAGAAGAACTTCAACTTTCTGAATGTGCAACTTTGAACGCTTACTTAAAACCATTTATGGTATCATCAACTGTCAAAATAAAGCCGCAAACGGACTCTTTGAGTCCTGAAGGTCTTTCAGACCGAAGCGGCGAGGTCGTAGACCGTGATAAAACATTTACGAGGAATTTTTGCTTAACATCAAGTGATTCGTTCATCTCTGATTGGATTGAATTTTTATTTTCAACCTGTTCATTAGTTGCTAAATCAAATATTGAACAATATGAAGAATTAATGAAGCCGCAAACGGACCAAACGGCGGGGACTTTGTCCCATACATTAAATGAAAAACAGAAGGAAGCATTTAAAGAACTTCTAGATGAGGAATTCAATAAAGTGAATATCATAGGTTTTAGTTCGGGAAAGTTTGATTTAAATTTAATTCTTCGTGATTTAAACACTGCAAAATGGAAAATAAAATCAATGCTGGGTTCTTCTTCTCAATTTAAGCAAATCATTGTAAAGAAAACAAACTGTCCATATGAATTAAGATTTATTGACATCAGAAATTATATAGCGGGTGGAACATTAGACCAATTCACTCAAGATTTCGGAAACAATAAATCACGTGTTAAATCCTTTTTCCCTTATCAATTCATCACATGGGAGAATTACGAAGATGAATTATATAAAGTGGAACCATTCACTCAAGATTCATTTTATTCAGCATTAACTCAAGAAACAATATCCGATTCAGATTATCAAATATATCTCAATGATGCTAAAAATTTTGAGAATAGATTAGAATATTTTATTCATTATTGCAATAAAGACGTTGAAATTATGATTGACCCAATTGATAAAATTATTGAAGAAACATTTGTTTATAAAATTGACATGCTTCATAATCTTTCTTTATCATCGAATGCATCAATGATTCGTTACGCGTTAGCATATAAGAACTTCAATCCTAACGAAACATATCCAGAAGAAGAAAATGTGGAATCAAGTTTTGAATTAACAAAAAAGTATTGGAAATATAAAATTGATTCATATAAGAAACAAGATGAAAAAGCAGAAAGGGATACTAAAAACAATGTTTCAATGGATGACTATCAATACTATCACGATTTAATCCTTTCATCTAAATGCAAAATGTGTGGTAAAGCGTTTACATATGCTAATAAACCAACATTAGATAGAATCGATAATGAAAAACCACATACCAAAGAAAATTGTCAGTTAATGTGTTGTTATTGCAATGTCGTAAAATCAAATAAAGATGAAGATGTTCAACGTTTAAGAATCAATTTAAGAAATTATGCATTAAAAAATAATTTACCAATGACTCTAGATTCAGTTGAAGCTTATCACATCCTCCGTAATGGAATTACTGGTGGTTTATCAAATGTTCAACATAGAGTAAATCTTAAAGGAATCACGCACATTAATAAACTTTCATATAATCCAGAAACTAAAACTGTATCAAATGAGGACACTTCCAACATTATGACTCATTTCGTTGGTGTTGACTTTAATTCATTATATCCTTCATCATTTTCATCTAATCCTCATGATTTCATTCAATATACTGACCATAAAATGTATATGCCGGGAAGATTGAATGGTGTTATCATTTGTGATACAGCAACAAAGAAAGCAAAAGCATTGGGAATAATTAAGAAGAAAAATACTTTATTCGTGGCTGAAGTAAAGGGTCACATTGATGAAAAATACATTAATGATTACATAAACTTTTTACCGATAATAAGAAACTTAGATATTATCACAGATGAAAAAACAATTGGCAGTTTTATGTATAATTACATGAAATCAAACAATCTACCAGTTGACCAGAAACAGAGAAAATTAACTCAGTTAGCATCAACACACAACCAATATCAACCATTTTCTTCTTATTATCTTTGGTATCTAATAGACAGATTTCATTTTATCATTGATGATATTCAATCAATTTTAACATTTACTAAAAACACTTGTTTTAATGAATTTGCGAACGAATTTATGAACGAAAGACAAAAGGCTGAATTAGAAGGAAATAAAGGAAAAAGTTTATTTTGCAAGATTTCACTTAATGGATCATATGGTTACGATGCAATGAATACACAAAATTACGCAAAGACTAAAATAATGAATGCACAGAAGGCACGCGTTGCATGTATGTCAAATAAGTTTAAAAACATAAGAGAAATAGGTGAAGATACGTATCAAGTGATGCTTAAAGATAGATTTTATAGATGTGATACATGTTTACAAGAGGCATTCTTCACTTTAGATAACGCAAAATACTGGTATTTGGTTTTCATTTATGATTTTATGTATAAATGCATGGATGTTAATCGTTTTCATTTCATTGAAGGTGATACTGATTCATCTTATTGGGCAATCGCTGGCGACCCAAATCTTCCTAACACTCAAGCATTTCAAGCAATTGTTACTGATAAACAATTTTATGATAAAAACATTTACAAATTCGCACCTTTTGATTTCTTTTGTTTTAATGAGAAATTTAAACCTAAATTAAAGAATAAAGCTGAAGAAAAAGCACATGAGAAGAAGTTATTGGGTTTAGCAATTGAGAAACAAGGTGATAACATGGTTGCTTTATGCCCCAAGTGTTATACATCATTCAACGGTTCAATTGATGGAAGTGATTTTAAAAAGATTGCACAAAAAATGAAAGGAGTTAGTTTACGACAAAATAAACAATTAACACCTAAAAATTATTTGGATATAATAAATGATAAAGTGATATTTGATGGTCAGAATATTAATTTACAACTTAAAAACGGGTCAATGACTCGCTTAACAATTGGTAAGACTGCATTAACAGGAGCACACACTAAGGCTGTATGTTGTGAAAATGGATGTTGTATGCCATTTATTTAATACAATACCACAGAAGAGACAAAAGGAACCGTTAATAATGGTTTTGTACTATGATTCAAAGAGGTGGGCACCCTTAAAACATTTATTTTATTTTTATATAAATGGATAACACAGATTTAAAAATTTTAATTGATGATTTAGTATTTAATCAAGAAAATTTTGATTATTATGATTTAAAAGCATATCTCCAAAAACATAATAAAAATATAACGGGTGATGATATGAATTATTATTATTCGTATTATAAAAATGAAATTTTGAAATATCATGATAAAATAATTTCTAAAATTAAAGACAAAATTAAAAATAATGAATATTCAAAGGGAAAAACTAAATCACAACTTAAACAATTGAAAGATTTTAAAAATAAAGTATTAACAGAAGAAGATATTGATGAATTATATAAATTATATAAATTATATAATCCTGAGCCGCAAAAGCAAAAGGAGCAAAAACAAAAGGTGCAAAACACCCAGGTCCTTCAGACCAAAAATGATGCACAAGCTTTAATTTATGATTCATTAGTTAAACCATATTCAGCCCGACTTTTAAATGAAGATCAACTTTTGGAATTCATCCTTCAACATAAACTCGAAGTGGGAAAGTATATCAAACCTTTATATACAACATATTTAAAACAAATGAATAGAATACATCCAGAATTAATGAAGGGGGGAATGAAATCCAAAACTTCATCATCCAAAATCAAAGCAGATAAAATTAAACCACTTGCAACACCAAAACCTCCAACACCAAAACCTCCAACACCAAAACCTCCAACACCAAAACCTCCAACGACAGTACCACCTCCTCCTTCAGTTAATCCTTCATCATTCACTTTATTATATCCATTTCAAACATTAAAGAAGCAAAAAGATTTTAAAAAGGATTTCAAAATATTAAATAAACCAATTGACCCAAAAATTCAACCGTTAAAGGAAAAATTTAGTCGCCCTTCATTTGCTCCATATCCATATTCATATGAAATTGATCATTTAGAATATTCAAGAGGAAACGTTACTTATTTATTTGCCATTAACATTAACACCAGATATTTATATTGCATTCCGGTGAAAGGGAAAACAGAACAGGAAACAAGAAGAGCTATTCAATACTTACTAGATCATGAAAGAGTAGATAATATCAGGGGTGATAGTGATAAAGGATTTCAGGCAGCTATGACTCATTATTTCTCACAAATTAATTTTTACTTTTCATCCTCTCCATTTACGTTTCATAATAAAATAGTTGATGCGGTAATGAGAACTCTTAGAGATGCGTTAGGGGTTAACGGTCAGATATACTGGGATGGAAATCATGACTCCATCATACAGCTGTTAGTATATTATTACAATAATACATGGCATAGAACTATAAACATGAAACCGGTGGAAATGAAAAATGATATTTCAAAAGAATGGGAATATATTAGAAAGCAAATGGAAAGGTTGAATGATGTTAAACGTGAACAAATTAATTCGGGGCTCATGAATTTTAAACAAGGGGATAAAGTTTTGATTCATCTCGATTATGGAAAAACTGATAAATTAATGACAAAAAGAAGACGAAGATTTGACACAATAGCTGAATTTGTTAGATATATTAACGGCAATGCATTAGTTGAGGTTAACAATAAATTAATAGAAATTCCGATTTATTTTATTACTCCATTATATTTAAATAATATTTAATTTTTTTATTTCGTAAGAAAATGAGTGACAACAAAGCAGTCAAGAGTCCAGACGATGAATATAAAAAGAAACTAAACAGAATTAAATCAAAAATATGCTATTACAAAAAGAAGCCACAATGCGGTGGGGTTGAAAACGATAAAGAGAGGAAAGAAATAATCGAAAAATTAGAAACTTACCGTTCAATCCTTAAACTGAGTGAAGCAAAAATAAAAGAATTTAATAGAATAAATAAATTGATTGGAAGAGATGAATTTAATAAAGATGAATTTTTAAACTCAATCCAAATTTAATTTTTATTCCTCTTCGACAACATCTCTCTTTCCATCATTACTGCATAACCACATTTTCTCAATTTTAGTGGTTTGTTATTTTTAACATGTTCTTGCATCATTTTTATCATTTCCTCCCTTGTTATGATTCGTGGTAAATTTTGAGCTTGTGGGGTATTCATTTATGATAAAAATAAAAATTTGTTATCACTTATTTTATCGTTAAGTGACTCAAAGAGTCCGGAGACAAAGTCTCATGGTTTTTAGGTTATTCAATAATTAATTATTTTTGAAGAACCGAAGGTGCTACCATGCTACCATGTGCTACCAGGTCATTTAACTTCTCTGAAAAAATGTGACAACATGACATTTTGACAACAACACAGGATTAATGAGGAAGGTAGTTATTAATTATTTTTGAAGAACCGAAGGTGCTACCATGCTACCATGTGCTACCAGGTCATTTAACTTCTCTGAAAAAATGTGACAACATGACATTTTGACAACAACACAGGATTAATGAGGAAGGTAGTTATTAATTATTTTTGAAGAACCGAAGGTGCTACCATGCTACCATGTGCTACCAGGTCATTTAACTTCTCTGAAAAAATGTGACAACATGACATTTTGACAACAACACAGGATTAATGAGGAAGGTAGTTATTAATTATTTTTGAAGAACCGAAGGTGCTACCATGCTACCATGTGCTACCAGGTCATTTAACTTCTCTGAAAAAATGTGACAACATGACATTTTGACAACAACACAGGATTAATGAGGAAGGTAGTTATTAATTATTTTTAAAGAACCGAAGGTGCTACCATGCTACCATGTGCTACCAGGTCATTTAACTTCTCTGAAAAAATGTGACAACATGACATTTTGACAACAACACAGGATTAATGAGGAAGGTAGTTATTAATTATTTTTGAAGAACCGAAGGTGCTACCATGCTACCATGTGCTACCAGGTCATTTAACTTCTCTGAAAAAATGTGACAACATGACATTTTGACAACAACACAGGATTAATGAGGAAGGTAGTTATTAATTATTTTTGAAGAACCGAAGGTGCTACCATGCTACCATGTGCTACCAGGTCATTTAACTTCTCTGAAAAAATGTGACAACATGACATTTTGACAACAACACAGGATTAATGAGGAAGGTAGTTATTAATTATTTTTGAAGAACCGAAGGTGCTACCATGCTACCATGTGCTACCAGGTCATTTAACTTCTCTGAAAAAATGTGACAACATGACATTTTGACAACAACACAGGATTAATGAGGAAGGTAGTTATTAATTATTTTTGAAGAACCGAAGGTGCTACCATGCTACCATGTGCTACCAGGTCATTTAACTTCTCTGAAAAAATGTGACAACATGACATTTTGACAACAACATAGGAAATATGATGCAGTCCAAAAATAAAGTTAGTTTTAAAATTGTTTTTATTTTTTTATTCCTATATAAATGACAGCAACAAACAACAGCAACAACTATATCGTTTCTGATGAAAATATCATTGATTCATTAGCTGAGGAATTAGTTGTGGCAGAAACTAAAACCCTCAACGAAAGAATTGGTGAAAACAAGATTGATTTACATAACTACCTCAAACACGATGGAGGAAGAGGAAGGAAAACTGGTATGGCTTTATTAGTAAATAAAATTTCAAATTTAACGATTATAGATGTTGATATCAATAAATCATACAATGATGAACTTAAAGAAACAGTTAGAAAAGACATTTTATCAAAACTTTCGGATAAAGATGTTATCGTTAAAACCGCTTCAGGAGGTCTTCACATTTATTGCAACACTAATTTCTTCTATTCAACCTCGAACAGAATGATTAAATGTTATTCCTGCAATGATTATGATATTGATATAATGACTTCAATGGATGATTCAAAGCGTTCTTTAGTAGTTATGGCTGATTCAAGAGTTCGCAAGAATGCAACAGAACCAATCAATACATACTCATTCATTCGTGGAAGTTATGATTCAACATTAACCAGAACAGTGAATGATATATTAAATGATTTGAATATTAAGGTAAGAGTTGAACAGAAGAACGAAGAAATAAAGACTATCATGAATGAAAACAAAGATGTAAACATTGACGATAAACTTGCCCAGAGCATAGTTGATGGCATCTGTGATTTTGAAGTACATAATGACGGTGGAAACATGAATTTAGAAAAAGAAATAACATTATTCACACTGTTTCAAGCTATTAATTCGTTACCTAATCATTTAATTAATGAAGCATACGATAACGTTTATAACTTCTGCAATTTAACTGAAAATGCAAAAAGTAATTTTGAAAAAGCACGTAATAGATATGCACATTTAATGACTTCTCCATTTGTTTTAGTGAAGATTCTAAAACTATATCAAAAGGAATATTATGATGAATATGTTTTACCTTTATTACGTAAGCCAAAAATAACATTTGATATCAAACTTGACGACTCGTTTTTGATAACAGATATTAGACGCAAGGCTGAAAATCATCAGTATAAAAACAGTTCTGAAGTAATTGAGGATTTATCACGTGTAATCCGTTTTGTAGATTGTGGAAATAAATATTTCATTCAGAAAGATTACAACATACACGACAAAATGAATCAAATATCATTTGTTCTTCAATCAAACATGAAAGAGTCACTCAAAATGATTAAATTATTTAAAGAAGAAGGTAAAACAATAACAGCATGGGATGTACTACTAAATCAATTATCCTCATTAACCGTTAAGGGTGTTTGCTTTAAATCTGATTCCCCCGATGTTTTCTCAACGTTTCATGGTTATAAATACAACATTCTTGAAAAGCCTGATTACTCAAAAATTGAGATGTTTATGAATTTCATTAAAGAAGCCATATGTGATAATAACGATGAAGTGTATAAATACCTTCTCGGCTGGATTGCATCAATGATTCAACATCCTGGAATCAAGAATGAAACAGCAATTATTTTGAAAGGACTTCAGGGAACAGGTAAAAACAGATTTACTGACATTATTTCTGAACTTCTCGCTGGTTATTCATGCAAAAACATTACCGAAATAAGTGAGCTAACGGGTAATTTCAACTCAGTTGTTGAAAATAAAATGTTTCTTGTACTTAATGAACTCAAGAATGTAGGTGAAGATAGACTCGCAAACTTCAACGCTTTGAAATCAATTATAACGGATAATGAGATTAGAATTAATGAAAAGAATCAACCCAGAAGAACAGCTCAGAACGTTGCAAACTTCATTTTCGTAACTAACAACGTTTACCCTGTCAAAATTGAAGTTGGAGACAGAAGATACGTAGTTTTAAGAGTTAATGGTAAATTCAAGGGTCAATTTGATTACTTCAAGAATTTGATGGATTCATGCACAAAGGAATTTTATGATAATTTACTGACGTATTTTATCAATTACGACCTTTCATCATTTAATGTACGAATCATACCGATGACTGAAGCCAAACAAGATTTAATTGAATTATCATCAAATCCTTTAGATGTATGGATAAATACACATTATGATGAATTGTGTGCAGGTATGACGTGTGAAAATGCTTTATTCTGCAAACCATCAGACATGAAAGACAAGAATTTCCAAATGAGTATTAAGGATAAATGTGATAGGAAACATAGAAGAATAGACGGTAAACAAACATGGTGTTATGTTTTGAAAGAAGAAATGAAAGGATTATATAAACAGGTTGAACCAAACGATAATGAGGATTCATTTACTGACGATGAAATACCTGTAAATGAGCCGCTAAGCGGCGAGACCTGAAGGTCTAGCTTTATAAAGTATGATTTGAATTTATTTTTGCATTAATCCTTTCATGACTGTTGTCAAAATGTCATGTTGTCACACTTTTTCAGAGAAGTTAAATGACCTGGTAGCACATGGTAGCATGGTAGCACCTTCGGTTCTTCAAAAATAATTAATAACTACCTTCCTCCTGTGTTGTTGTCAAAATGTCATGTTGTCACACTTTTTCAGAGAAGTTAAATGACCTGGTAGCACATGGTAGCATGGTAGCACCTTCGGTTCTTCAAAAATAATTAATAACTACCTTCCTCCTGTGTTGTTGTCAAAATGTCATGTTGTCACACTTTTTCAGAGAAGTTAAATGACCTGGTAGCACATGGTAGCATGGTAGCACCTTCGGTTCTTCAAAAATAATTAATAACTACCTTCCTCCTGTGTTGTTGTCAAAATGTCATGTTGTCACACTTTTTCAGAGAAGTTAAATGACCTGGTAGCACATGGTAGCATGGTAGCACCTTCGGTTATTCAATAATTAATTATTTTTGAATAACTGGGAAATAAATTTACATCAAATATGCAATTTATAAAATCTTATGTCGACAGGCTACGTAGCACAGTGGTCTAAGGTGGTGTTATGGAGGGGTCAAGGTCTGTGGTTCGAACCGCGACGGCGCCGTATTTTCTTATTTTCTTTGTTTGTCGTGAATAAAAAGTGTCATAAAAGTGCTCTATCTTCCACGGGAATAAATAAAAAATTTACTTTATTTCTTCTTTATTTCTTCTTTATTTCTTCTTTATTTCTTCTTTATTTCTTCTTTATTTCTTCTTTATTTCTTTGTTCCCGTGGAAGAAGGGTTTTGCTGTTTTTTCTCAGCCGAAATCAATGATTTTTTCATTTTTGGAATCCTTAGCAAATGAGGAATCTTTTCTCTCGTGGAAGCTTTGAACAAAAATAAGCCGCTAGCGGCAAGGGCGAAGCCCATGTTTAGGTGAAGAGACCCAAAGGGTCAGAGCCGCAAAGCGGCTAGGTGAGATGTCACCTGTTTTTTCACCTGTTTTTATGGTAGTAGTGAAATAAAATTTTGTTATCAGTTATTTTATCATCATTTTATTAACTTCATCTTTAGTTAATAATTTGAATGGATTCGCTAATGTTCCACCTTGAGTCACAACACCTGCCCCGGCTAATTGTGAAGAACCTGGATAAGTACTCCATGAAATGATTTCATTGGTATCATTAATTTAGAAATAGTTGGCTTAATTAATTTGGTCATTTATGATAAAAATAAAATTACATAATTTAAATTTTTTTTCTTTCTCATTTTCTCATTTTCTCATTTTTCATTCTGTTTTGGTTTCAGCAACTTTTCAAGTTGTTGTCTTGTCAGTAACTTTAATTTTAACTTTGGATCAAATATTGGGTTTCCATCTTTATCTCTTCCAATAACACCATATGGTAGAATCTTCATTTATACTAAAATAAAAATTTAAATTATGTCGTTTGCTCTTTTGGAGCTCCTAAAGTTTGTTTCACAAACATTGAGCGTTCATTGAACTCTATACCATGCGAATACAGTCATAAATGGTGGCATGTAATCTTTACTTTGTCCCGTTGTTTGTGTATATCCTGAAACGCGATGTGTATGGTTTCCTTCTCCCTGAGTGTCACTCCAGTAACAATTTATGGCAAATTTAACATCATCTTTAACATCATATCCTTTACCTTTTGTCATTCCTGACCAATCCCAATATCTATGCTTATGCCAACCTGCTTGAGATGTGCTTAAATCTATGTAGTGACTGTGTGCAGGTAAATTTTCACCTGTAATCGTTTTACTTCCCCCTGTTTCCTTTGAAGAGTTTGCACAATACAAAAACCTGTCGACTATTTGTTCCCATGCACCAACACCAAACATTGCTTGAGGACCTCTCACATCCATAGATGTATAAATAGAACCTACTGGGTTCATTAAATCAAACATATGAGATATTATAGGATTGTCTCTTTTGAACTTAAAATATAGTGTAACTATTTCGGGTTTCTTCTGGTTTGTGTCAGAATATTTTTTATAATATAATCTTATGTTTTCAGGGTATGTAAAATCTTGACTATAATATTTATTTTTGTCATCTTCATAATAGTATACTATTCTCGTTTTTTCTATTGCATTATATCTTTTATATCTATAATATTCTAAATATAATGTTTGCTTTTTTGGGTCTACATGTGCGTCAACACCATAGTCATAATAATACGGTGCTGGAGCTACGTTAGACAATGTCATATCCGTCATTTCATAAACTCTTAAATATTTCTTTTGTTCGTCTCCATATAAGTTTAAGTAACAGTTGTTGTCTAATGGAACTTTAACTTGTGTACCATTATTCTTTATATAGCCTACATACATTTCATTGTTATTTTTCGGAATGAGTTTATACCGTATACCATTTCTTAAGGACTGTACAAACCCCCATCTAAAATATTTGTTTTCTTCATTGACAGAAAAGTCGCCAACAATAGTTTCAATATTTTTTGTTCCAACTAAACTTTGGTATATTTCGTTAACATAAGTTTTATCTGCTTTCTTTGCTAACTCATCGTTAACAAATGATATATCTGCCTTCTTCTCTAACTCATCGTTAACATAAGTTTTATCTGCTTTCTTTGCTAACTCATCGTTAACAAATGATATATCTGCCTTCTTCTCTAACTCATCGTTAACAAATGATATATCAGCTTTCTTTGCTAACTCATCGTTAACATAAGTTTTATCTGCTTTCTTTGCTAACTCATCGTTAACAAATGATATATCAGCTTTCTTATTTAACTCACTATCCACATATTCCTTATCTGCCTTCTTCTCTAACTCATCGTTAACATAAGTTTTATCTGCTTTAAGGTCTAAACATTCTGAAACCCATCCTGTATCAGCTTTAGTTTTAAGAATCTTCGATGTCCGTTCATGATACCATTCAACCCTTTCTATAATTTCATTATCTTTTTCATTAACATATTCCTTATCTGCCTTCTTCATTAATTCACTATCCACATATTCCTTATCTGCTTTCTTTGCTAACTCACTATCCACATATTCCTTATCTGCCTTCTTCATTATGTCATTTAGGAAACCTTTTATGAATTCCTCATTTAAATTAAATCTTCCAATCTTCAAAACTTTAGGAAATGCATTTAATGCGTAATATCTCTGTTCTTCTGGTGGAATTGATGTTATATCATCCGTTATTCCTTTAATTTTTGAATTCATAAATAAAATTTCTTTTATATTTGATATCACTGCACCACCTTTGCAAACGAATTCAAAATGGTCATTTTTCAATACTATCTCCAAATCTCCATATTTCAACATTTGCGTTTGTTCTGCCGTCTTTGAATTATATGCATATATGGCGTATGTAATGGTCTGTGGTTGCTGTTGTTTAATCATTTATTACGATTTAAAAATAAATATTTAATCTGTTATCTCATCAGCTATTTTTTCTATTTGAAATTGCCATAATATTTCATTCATAAATTCTAAATCACAATCAAATAGGTCAGTTATTCTAAATTTAATATTTGATAAATCTTTTGAATGAAGAATAAATGAATTCCCGGATAATTGAAACGGATATGATAAAGAAAATATGTTTAAGTTGATGGATAAAATGTTTTGTATTGATGGGTAAGAGTTAGGGTCTAATGTTTGATGTGAAAATCTCATTGGGGTATTAACTTTATCACATTTGATTAAAATGAAATTAGAACCAGTGTCAGAATACAAAACATCCCCAACATCTTTTTCAAAATTTAATATCCCCAACAATGAACGAAGACGAGGAGTACAAAATTTAATTTTCAGCGGAAATTTAATAAGGTTATTTATTTCATCAAGTTCAAAAAGTTTATCAGGTTTTGATTTAAAATTTTCTTCATACCATACGATAAATGATTCATTTAAATAACTTAAAATCATGTTAATATCCCATTTCGTTATCACATTATTTATATACATATCATACGTTTTTAGGTCTACGACCCCGCCGCTATGCGGCTCATGGTCATCTTTAATAAATGATATATAATCTGAAGGGTCTAAAAGAATGGGATTAAATTTACCACTCACAGAAACGAGAGTAACATTATAAATTCCGCTAACTGTTAAATTTAATTCACAGTTATTATTCGAAATAATATTGATAATTGACATTTTTTTATTACGATTAAAAATATGGTAAAGCGTTATTTTCCAGTGATAAATAAAACTAGAATAAGATTACCTCAAGAATTCATAAATTCAACGAATAAGAAATTCATTCATGTTATAAATTTTAGTGTTTTCAGAAAATATGAGTCGATGTCATATTCATCATCAGGTTATATTTCACTTCATTCAAATTTAGTTCAATCAAACCCATATAATGACCATTTCATAAGATTTTCAGATGGTATTAAAAATGTAATTGATAGATTAAAATATGAACAGATTGACAATATCGAATTTTTGGAATTTTGGTTTAAATATCCCGATGGAAAAAAGATTGAAGTTAAAGATAAAGCTGATACTATAACAAAAACAATTACAATGACCGATCCGGATAGTGGGGAACAAAAAGAAATAAAACAAACGATAGAAACTGGTGAAAGGTCAATTATTATCGATTATGATTCAAAGGATTATTATTCGATAATGTTAATGCTTGAATATTAAATAGCCTTAACAAAGAATTTTTCAAGTGATATTTTATATTCATCAACTATTTTATTATAAATATCATTATATGTTAAATGAAGTTCAGTTGTTGTTCCGTTCTTTGATATCTTAATTGTGCTAATATCCTTTATAGGATTTATTTTTGCAACTGTTCCGCAGCATGAAACCTCATCATCTATGAAAAATTGAATCTTCACGTCTGAATCTTGAACATCACAAAGAATGGCGATAATGTGAATTAATGATTCATAAGGTAAAATAATTAAACCGGATTGGTCAATTAAATTTATTATTGAATCATAATTATCAGTTATGATATCACGGTAAATTTTCATTAATTCAGAATTAATGTCTATTTTATATGGCGCATTGCGACTGTAATCGTAGATTCCTGGGTTCTCGATGTTTGATGAAAGAGGTGGGGGTATGTTGGATAAGTGGGAATTTCAACAGGTTCTTTACCAGGTTCAGATAAAATGATTGGGTCTCCATTCTCATGGTTTTCTTCATTCTCCTCATTCTTCGGTAAGTCACGAGTTAATAAATTTGGTTGAGTTGCTGACCTTGTTAATTCAGGACTAACATTAACTTTAACATTTTGAATAATTCGTGATTTATCATCATTTACGTTATAACCAACCGTAATCTCTGCTTTTGCGTTAGTGTTCTTTTGACTAGTGAAACGTCTTCTCATTTATATTCGAATAAAAAAATATATTTAAACTTTTATTTTGCTGGAACTTTTGAATCTATTATTTCCTGTATTTGTTCATGAAGTTGATTTTTAGCATTTTCATCGAAATTAATAGACCGAATATATTCATTAATTGCATTCTTATAATCATCTGATTTCTCAAATTTTCTTTTATCTGATTCCTTAACTAAATCATAAGTTAAACCTCGTTGCTGATATAATGGTTTCTTAATTAAATCTTTGAATGCTTGAGATAAAGCACCTGATGCAATTCTTGCTACTATAATTGGTTGGAATTGCTGTTTAAGTTCATCTTTAACATTTGCGAAAACTGGATCGAATAAAGCAACTTTAAAGAATTTCTTAGCTGGAATTTCAGGTCTTAAATTTGCATATTGACCATCAAACTGGTTAGAATATCGTGGTAATCCATCCGGTCCCTCTTCAATAGCATTTAATTCTTCATTGAAGTAAGAATATGGATTATGACGGTATGAATTAATTGGACCATTTTCACCTTCTCCAATGTATTGTTTAACAGCTTTTCCATTTTCATCAAATTGCATAGGATAATGTTCATTATATGCTTTACGTTTAGGATAATCCGTCATTGTTAATTTATACCCATTTATGACTTTAATATTTCCTTGACCATCAGTAACGAAAACTTCATTTATTCCATCAGGTTTTCCATTTGGACCCGTAATGTCTGCTTCGTGTGCTTCCCAATTTGGTCCGTGACGTTTGGCATATGCTTGAGCTTCTGGTAATGTTAAAACGTTTCTCATTTGTTTAACATCCTTTTGAAGACCGGCAACAATGTGGACTAATTCTTTCATTCCGTCTGGAACTTTCATAGTTCTATTATATGCACCCTTTTTGTTTGTTCCTTGTTTTAATGGAACCTGTAGAAGATTTGCAATTTCTGTCATGTTTAATTATAAATAAAAAATAAAAATTAATTATAAAAAGTTATTCGAATTTAATGGAACCTTTATTTAAATCAACTATTATTTTTCCATGTTCTCCTAATTGTTGATATTGTGTGTAAAGTTCATTAATGCTCATTGGTAAATTCACTTGATAAAGCATAACGTTCAACTGTTGACGACTAAAACCACTGAAAATGAAAAGGGTGGACAGGTTTGATTTAATGTTTGTGCTTAATGCTTTAAAGTATTGAACAGCCATGAAGAATGAACACTGAATGTGTCGACATTGAGTTAATAATTGATTAAAATATGATTTCTCATTAGTTATTAGTTTTGATTTCACCGCATCATCTAGAAAAATGAGTGAATGCAAAAATTCTCTATCAAAATTTGAAATAGAAAGTGTTTCAAATAATTCATCCCGTTGTTTATCAATAATTTTATCCTCTAATCCTTGCTTCTTGATTGTATTATATAATTCTTTATACATTACAAAGTTTTTTAAATAATCTTCTGCTTCTTCTTGTGATAAATAAATAATTGGAATTTTGATTAAATGCTTTAAAGATTCAAATGTATCATCTGAAGGTGAACCTGAACGGTTGATATAAATTAACACATGTGAATAGGGTGAAGTGTTAGCAATAATGATAATTTGTTTTAATATCGTTAATGTTTTACCTTTATTTTGTTTACCAATTGCTGCAGTGATTGAATTTAAGTAACATTCAGAATATGGAATTTTCATTAATTTTTCCTTAGATAGAGCATTTCTATTATCACTCAATGCTTCATTAATCATATCATCTACGTATGTATTATATACTCCTGCTAATTCTTCATAAGGGGTGGATGAATTTAAATCCATTTAATCAAAAATAAATTTATAATTTTAACATTTCTATTCATCAATATTTCATCATATGAACTTCTATACTGTGGTGGTGTACCTGTTGGATGATATTTCAAACCTTCATCCGGTGTCCATGTCCAATATGTAGTCCTAGTAAACCAAACCTGAGGAGGATTTGTCACTTTGAACAGTAAGTGTCATTTTCACCCTGAATGATTGGATAAGCTTTCACTTGTACTGTAACTTGTGAGTTGAAAGTTTCTAATCCATCAAAGAATATACCCGCTCCATCACGTTGAACTGGAATAGTGCATAAGAATGAAGTTTGGTCTTTCCATGTTCTAGCTAATGGCGTGCCATTATCATCATTCAGTGGTCTAGTTTAATGAGTCCTCGTATTCTTCCGTGCATTCATTCACTCCATCTAAATCAAGAAGCTTGAAGCATACGTGTAAAAGAATATGTCGCCCACTGTGGTCATCGCTTGATCGGGGAAGTTTCTGGAATCTATAGTGACCTGAAGACCTCGAAGCATTGGATTTTCTAAAACCGTTCTTTGCATTGCATTCTTCGGAAATGCTAACACAACATCTGTAACATTATGAAGAGCGTATGAGAAATCTGAGCTGATACCTTCAGGAGTGATGCAACCTCCATTTAGTGAACGAACGTCAATATGTTGAGCTGGAATCATGAATGGATCTTCCTTACTGAATAAACGTGGTATTGCTTTAACTGATTCTTCAATTAAACCGTATCCTGGTGTAATGGCATTTATCCTCTAAAACTTCCATCTTGTGTGCATGAAATAATAACGTCTTCAACTGTTGCGTCAGCAGATGTAGCGGCTAAGCTGTAATTAATTTGGCAGGAAGTCCGATTTGTTGGAATTTGCGATCATATTATAAACATGATTCATAAT